TATTTGTTTATTTATATTATTTATATTTTATTTTATTATTTGTATTTGTTATTTTTTTTTTATCATATGTTTATATATATAGACACACACACATATGTACACGTACACATGTGTATATGTGTGTGTGCCACGTAGGTACTAATTGTCATTATTATTATTATTATTATTATTATCATATTACTTTATATTTTATTATTTATTTTCTATTTTTTTATGAGGAATTTTAATTTTAATTTTAATTAAGGATAATGATGATTTGATAATTTGAATTGTCAATTAAGTAGATTATAATGTGTGTGTGTGTAGTGTATGTATGCGTGTGATATTTCAAAGCATTATATGTGCAAATGTGATTTCTTTATCGTTGGTAGCCTCCCCTTGCACAGCAACCAAACGATCTCATTTTAAAGCTCTTCTATTCCTCATACACACTCATCAAGAGGTGCAAATGTGGTTTCATTACCTGCAAGGTGATGTTATCATTGAGAAACTTGGTAGAGGTTTGGCATTCCAAACTTCAAGTTTGTGTCCATGGGGACTTTGTCTTCCATCGTCAATGGTCAACAATTGTGTTAGAAGATTCATGGCGGTAAAGTGATAGTTTAAAATTTTATGATTGCACAAAAATCTAACCCACACATAGATACTATAAATGTAGCAAGAGGAGACACTAAAAATTTTTAAGTGGAAAAACCCTTGAAAAGAGAAAATACCACAGAGTCTGGCCCAATCTAATTAATCTTCTATATAATTGTAAGTAAATTGTTCCACTCTTCTTCTGAGTTTGAGAATATAGAATTAAAATGTTGATAATCACTATGCACAATAGTCATCTAGCTTTAGTAGTCATAATTGTGCTACAATAAATATGTTCTTGGTGATAATAGTGATAGTGAACCATAATAGTCATAATTGATTACTACAAATATAATATTTTATTATAAAAATTACTATTGGTGGCCGCAATAGTGTCAGTTGTTTGCTGAGACATTAGTTGGAAGTTGTAATAAAAGTTAGTCACATATGTTGTAGTTGGTCACATAAGTCATGATTAGTAGTTGCAAGATCATTAGTTGGCCATAGAGGTCGTCGTTCAAAGCTATAGTGGTAGTTCATCACATATGTGGTCACATAGATCCTAGTTAAACTTGTAGTAGCAGTTAACAACATAGATCATAGTTGGTCACATAAGTCATGTTTGTTAGCAGTAGTAGCAGTTAGTCACACAGGTCATCATTGGTCTTATATTTCATGGTTGGAAGTTGTAGTAGTAGTTAGTTACTTAGGTCATAGTTGGTCGCATAAGCCATTGTTAGTAGTTGTAGTCGTAGTTAGTCACATAGGTCATAGTTGATCACATAAGTCGTAGTTGAAAGTTGTAGTTGTAATTAGTCACATAGGTTGTGGTTAGGAGCTAAAGTAAAATTTAACTAGATAAGCTAAATTTGGTGCTCCACTGATTGATGACTGCAACTCTTACTGATTTATTATTTTACTTAAGAAACGTCACTTGCTGGTATACGACGAATAAAAAACTTTAGGAGTCTAAAGAAAATGATCTTATTTTGAATACAACTACTTTAAGCAATTATCATCGAAAGTTATGTTTAGATCTTTATTACGATGTTATTCATTACATTATATTTGAGATATTTCATTACACAGTATTCGAGATATTTTATTATATAATATCTGTGATATTTTATTACATCATATCATGGCACTTCATTACGACATATTTGGGGCACTTTGTTACAACATATTCAGAAATTCATCATTGCAAAATAAAGTTTACCGACGACAGTAAGCCGGGAGCGGGAAGTTATCAGGAAAATTTTTTTATGATCTCAAATTAGCATGAAAGTCGAAGGTGAGGCTCATTGATGGGGGACATGTACTGATTCAGTTAACTATATCTGAAGACCACTCGGATTTTCTCCAAAAAATATCTTGACATTGTTGGTAAACCAAT